CATGGGATGATGATGGTCATGGGATGATGATGGTCATGGGATGATGATGGTCATGGGATGATGATGGTCATGGGATGATGATGGTCATGGGATGATGATGGTCATGGGATGATGATGGTCATGGGATGATGATGGTCATGGGATGATGATGGTCATGGGATGATGATGGTCATGGGATGATGATGGTCATGACCAACGCATGACCAACCCAACCTCGCATTCCTGCCTCTTTGACCTGACACAACTTGTCCGTCTTGTCTCCCACCAATCCGTTTCTCACATCTCCCTGACCAAACCCCACCACTGCCTACCTGCACTCATTTATCACCATCCCACCAACCTTCCCCAGGCCCACCCCTCCTCTCTATTTATTTCCCAGCTCTCTTCCTCCTCCTCCATTTCTGAAGGGTCCCGATCCAAAATGTCAAACTTTCCTGCTCCTCTGATGCTGCCTGGCCTGCTGTGTTCCTCCAGCTCCACACTGCGTTATCTCCGACACCAGCATTGGCAGTTCTTGCTATCATTGGTAGAAGTGGGGATGGATTTGGAGGGATTAGTTTGAAATGTTTTTTCAAAAGTAAATGCAACTTACTATGATCTGGAGTGCATTGCCTGAAAAAGGATGGTGCAAGCTGAGTGAATGGTTGAAAAGGAGAAGAAAACATATACCTGTGCAGAGGTGGCAGAGGACGGATGGACGGGCAGACAGCCAGACAATGTCTTTGAGCTGCATGATTCCAACCTACACATAACCACTGTACCACATCAGCTGACTGAATAACAGTGAATTATGCAACTCATCCAGAAACGATTGCTACAATTTGAGAAACACTTTCCCACCACCTTAAGGCAATGAGTGGGAGGCAAAAAGTGTAGCTTTGCTAATACAAGCAATATCCAACACAAAAGCAGCTTTGGAGTGCTGAGGCTCGCATACTGTTTTGATTTTTATGGTTCCAATATTAGGTGAATTCTCAAAGAAATGGAACCACTAATTTCTTGTGAAAGAAACTTGAACATTTTGCTTCCCAGAACACAAGAAATAGCACTGATATTGATTCTACAAAGAACCCACAAACAGGAAAATATAAATGCACACTGTTTTGTAAAAGTTCTAATATAGCTATTTTTAAAATTAGCATCTTAAGTTTCAAAGCTACGTGCATAGCTTTGTCAGATAATGGACCTATTTAACATTGGTAGTACGAAGCTTAAGTAGACTTAATAACCTTATCACTGTTTGGCTGAAATAGGCATTAGGTAGAAAAATGAGGAGCACTAGTATTTAGTTTAATGACAAGATACATTATGATTCAATTGTTAGTAAAAGTTGAAAATGTACATCTGTTAAGAATATTGTTATTTAAAACAAAAGGATCTCTTCATATCTCACCTCTCTTGAATGGAAGAACTGAATAGATAGCGTAGACAGCAGGCCCAGACTTGTGGACTATGTACATAGGTTGCACCACTCACCCAACTACAATATCAAAAAATGTGAAACAAAGTTGCAAGAAAAAAAAAAGTAGACTTTAAAAATATTTCTCACGATTGCAAGTTTACATGTGTAGAGAAATGTGTTCTCAACAAGCTAACATGCTGTGACACTAAACATATATGTTTCAAAGTTGGTAAGAGAATCATCTAAAACAGAAAGAAGATTAGTAAATTTCTTTTGGAACCAACCTTATCAGAAAACAAAATGAAAATAAAAACTTATCAGTAAGGGTCAAATTGCACAAGAGGAGCGAGCCCTGAATTTGCAACAACACTGAAACCAGTATATGAACCGGAGCATGGTTGATCTCATCAACCTGTAAAACACTAGCCCAATCAACCTGCCTTTTTGCTCATCTCCTTTGTCCTTCTGCATCCCAGTCACACATCTGTAACCTTCTCAAACTCCCTGTCTACTTGTCTTCTCTCCTACTTTGAATCAATTATCTTGCCATCTTTGAACTTCATCTGACCTGAAAAAATGCACTAGATATTGCTTCCCTATTTACAAGGCCATACAAAACCAAATGCTAATAAATAAAGAGACATACATTGAGATGCACCTTCCATTATAACCTGCTTTGACATATTGAGATAGTAATACTGTGAAACTATTAGCTTTCACCACAATTACTTTTCTGAAAGTCTCAGTAATTGCCTGATTGGAAAATCTAAAAGTTAGTATCAGTGAGTTTTATAGATAAATTGAACTTCAACAATATAGCCTAACTGCAACAAGTAGAAATCATTAAAAGACAAAATTCTCACTGGTTCAATGCTGATCAAAGGTTTTTTTTTTTTTTAAAAAAAACACCTTTGGAGTTGCATCTTGATGAATAGGGTGCAAGAGTTTTAAACTGCCCAAGTTCATAATTATTGCTGACCACACTCTGGCTCTGGAATATCCACATTCCTAAATGCAGGATTTTGAATTACCCCTTTATGATAAATTTTCACTAAATTTAATATTTCAGCTTCTACTGAATTCCATGTGTATGAAATTTTATATGAAGGCAAAATAAAGAGAGAAGAACCAAAACAAGCCCAAAAGAACTGTGGAAGCTGGAAATCAAAAAAACAAAAAACAGCAATTGCTTGAAAAATTCTCAGCAGGTCTGGCAGCATCTGTGGAAAGAGATCAGAGTTAACGTTTCAGGTCCAGTATCCCCTTTTCATAGGATGTGTGCAAGCACATTTTAGTTCCTCAACTGCTAGTAGTGTCAATACTACAGGCGTGATTAACTGTTTGAGAACAATTTTGCCGAGTTCTTGAAAATCCGTCAACTCGTCACCAAGTACAGACACAGACACAGAGAACAAGAAAAACCATGCCAAAAAATATCACAAGAATGTTGTGACCAACTTTCAGCAAAAAAAAAATCAGTGGCAAACACAGTTGTCACTTCACTGATCACATGACCCAAGAAATACTACAAACATTCAGGAGCTCAATACTCTTTATCCATCCTAACATTGTTGGATGTTATATTTGATAAAAATTAGAAACAGTGAATGACATACAGATGACATTTATAAAAACTTAGTTATTTGTACTCCTTTGCTTAATAAGCATTCCCAGTAAAACTATAGTTTTCACCTTTTACACATTACTGTTGAAACTAACATCTCCTAATCACACTTTTCACTACTATCCTTGTGTTTCAAGACTTTAAATTGAACTCATTTTTAAACATTGAATTCTCTACTTACATTCCTACTAAAGGCAAAGTGAACACTTTGGGATCCGATTCAAGCATTAACAGAAGCTTGCGAGTCTGATCCATTGTAAGGTACCTGCACAGTTAGTAGAAACATTAAAACAGATGCGTTTTAAGTGTGAATTGATAAAAGAACAAAGCAGAAAACATTTCATTTCTGCATAATTTTAACCATATTTCGAAAAAAGGAAAATAAAGCAAACAATTCCTTCATGATCAACTGATGTGACCAAAGAAATTGGCTTGACTTTCAACAAGTACAACATATATGTTTATCAGCAGTTGATACAGTTACTAGTTATGACCTTTTTTCCCCCAGTATTGAGTTCAGCTATGTTAGCAGCTATAGTTAAAGTAATAACAAAATTAGGAAAAATAAGAAAGGTGACAAAAATTTGTATACTAAATGAATAATGCTTTAATACAGCTTTGTTTTAAATCTATTTGCTCTTTATTCAAACCAAAAAAAAAATCCACCCTTCATTTGAATGTCCAATTCTGCACGCCAACATTTTCTAATCTTGGGAATAAAAAATTAAAACCAGTTTTCTTGGTAAAAATTGACACTAAAGAGAGTACATCCAAGATGGCCATCTTACTGACTCCTCTTCACCTACTTTTATAAAAAAAGGCAAAAATTAAAAATTCATCAATGGAGTATGTTAATCATATCAATTTTTCAGGTGAATGTCTCATTTTGCATTAGGTGTGACACAGTGCAAAGACTGGTCAAAGTCAATATCTAGGCCTCACTGTTGGGAAAGATGGGAGTGGTGCACACAGTCTCTCTCTCCAGTTTCACTGCTTCACGAGTCTCAAAATACTTAACTGTTTTACCCGGGTGCCCGTTCCCAAAGATGGTCAATTCGCTCTTGAAAACTTAAAAGAAGCAGCTCCAACCATATTTCTTTATTCAAGACTATAATCAACTTTATAAAATGAAGATACAAAATTGGTTAACAGACTTAGTTTATAACATTAAAATAAAATGTTTCCTCCTCTAAATTACCAAAACAAAACATGCACATTCATACACACTAGCTGTTTTATTTGGGGACTTGGGAGGAGGTGAGGAAGAAGAGAGAGGAAGAAAAGAGAAAGAAACAGAATTTTCTGTACAGAGATTCACTTAAGAAAAAAAAAAAAACACTTGACTGATAAGTCTGAAAACACAAGCAAGCTGTCTCTAGGATCATTGCTAACAGCTTGCTCATAAAATAGTGTTAAGGATTCTCCTGGATCTCTCAAGAAGGACAATCAAGATTCAGACTAGATCAAGGCTCCAAGTATCATATTGAACCAATAAGTTTTTTTTTCCAGAACAATGGAAAATAAGACTGCAAAACTCTTTCTCCATCAGGTGAGGCAGACCTGAAATGCTTTTCCTTCCAAGCTGTCCAACTGAAAAAGCAGAAGCTGCAACATGAGAGTCATAAACCAAATACACTGTTATCACAAGATATGCGATTTAAGAATTGCATTGTCTAATAAAGAAAAGAATTCCATTCATTGACCTTAAGGAAATCCAACTAACCACATTCCTTGAAACCAATCCATACAAATTAACTATGAAACCATCACAATATTATAGATTCACACTTTGATGTGACTTGTAAGTGATGTTGGTGGCTTCCTAGTAGTAGAGAATACCTTACATTGCAAGTTTCTGGGAGGTGAGAGAGAAGAAAGGAAAGAGGAAGAGGAAGAGTGTTTAAGTACTGGACACTTAGGGTTGTACTGAAGTATTTAACACTGAAAGCACACTGCACACAACCAAAATTTGATACTTTCTTGAACCTGGACTCAAAATTGCTCCCCAGTAGCAATCACAGTTTGTAACAGATATAATTTCTAACTTGAAATTATCATTCCCATTTTGTTAGCTGAGTCATCAGCAGGTATCAATATGGGCACTTGTATCCATTATGCCCTTGGTATAGTATTATCCAAGAAAGGCTTAAAATTAGTAATGATTGCTACAGTATTGAACATATAAAATGAACCACTTGAGAAATAAACGCCTTGTGCACAAAAGTTTAAAAATACTAATCTAGTAGTAAGGCAGCAAACTCAACTGACTCAGAAGTGAGTGAAACAATACTTAAAAATTAATCCGATTTTCAAATTAGATCGCATGAAATTATTTTCATGATATCATGGCAGCAGTACATTTCATCAAAGCTGGAAAAAAAATTCTATGAGCAGCATTAATCCTTGCATCTGCCAATAGCAAGTGTCATATACAAGGCAAGAAATTAGTGATCCACATACAGAAGGCTAATTTAGAATAATCACATAAAATGTAGATATAGGTACAAGTGATACAGGCTGAACTTACCATTAAATCAAACATGATTAAAAAATGGTTATTTGGGATGATAACCGTAATTAAAACACAAACGGATTGCCAAAGAACGGCTAACGGATTTTTTCATCTCCTCACCACGAGATTCAGCTAACAACAAAACCAAAAACAAAAAAATGTTTTATGGTCCACGTTGATGATGGATGAGTGGTTGGGACAACAAGTCTTAATTTGCATAACCAATTGCAAATACTGCAAATAAAGTTAGCGTTGGAGGGATAGATGCAGGTATTTGCTTTATGCCATGATTATGGACCTTGTACTTATTCTATCCTTAGGATTGATAGACTCAACTCAAATTGAGAGCAGTATTATATCAGAAATAACCATTTCATCTTGCAGGACGCAGTTCGTGTAATCGCAATACAAAATCAAGTGTCATAATTTGGGTTAGTTAAGATAGGAAGTTAAACTCAAGTTATCACCTTATATTGTGTTTTTCTACTGTTAATCATTCCACAAAACTTTTGAGAAGTTACTTATAACAAATGCCAGGGAAGATTTAAAATTCCAAGTTTGAGATGTGTATACTACTGTATAGATGGTATAGTAATGGAATTGACTTTATATTAAAATCACGTCTACTCAACCCAATATTAAACTTTCCTTTTAAAGTAAATTCTAAATTATTCCCTAGTATCTCGTCCAATTTGTTCTAAATCATACTTAAATATCTATTAGTTTGTAAAATATGGCATTCCTACAAACTTTATTTTTTTCATAACCAACTTACCCAAACTTGTATGTCCCTTGAACATAAGCAATATTTAACGGGCTGGTTAAATTTCTTGCCAAAGCTGTAGGAATTATGGGAACTGCATTGACTGGAGTGGCATCAAATGTGATTGCTACTGTAACAGCTGCCCATTGAAGTTCCAAGCTTAGATTATCCAAGTTCTCAAAGCAGTTAATGCATCCTCTCAACACAAGGAGTCTGGAAGAGTCAATTGTTTCCTTGCTACAGCAATAATGGCACAGCATCTGTTAAATTAAGTAATAAACAATTACTGACAAATCCATATTTCTTCTATTATTTTAACACAAACAAGAGTAAATGTTAAATCCGCAAGACTGCCATTTTCAGAATTCAAGACAAGGATTGCCTCAAAAATCAATAGAGATAACTAATCAGCTTCAGAAGGGATTCACTAGGATGTTGCCGGATATGGAAGGTTTGAGTTACACAGAAAGACTGGATAGGCTGGCACATTTTTCAATGGAGTGTAGGTGGTTGAGAGGTGGCCAGATGGAATTTTATAAAATAGAGCGAGGTATAGGTAGAGTTGATAGTAGTTGTCTTTCCCACAAGATGGAGAATTTCAAGACTAGGGGACACATTTAAAAGGAGAGAGGAGAGGAGATTTAAAAAAGACACGAGAAGCAATTTTTTTTTTTTTTTTTTTATAAAAAAAAAAAAACACAGACGGTGGTTCACGTGTGGAATGAACTTCCTGAGGAAGTGGTGGATACGGATACAATCAGATACAAGAATAAGAATGGTTCAGGGATATGGGCCAGGAGCAGGCAGCTGGGACAAGTATAATTTGGGATTATGTTTGGCATGGACTGGTTGGACCGAAAGTCTGTTTTTGTGCTGTATGACTCGGACTCTAAATAGTCACAAGAGAAGGGAGACTGTTAGGGCAGCTTGTCCTTTTACACTTTTAAGCAGTTGTACAGGATCAATTTTACATAAAACTGAAATATTTAGGAGTTGCTGGACTTCTGCACATCACTGAAACCTGAAAACATTTCCTCCACATTGCTTTCTCAGGAAGTGGCTTGATAGAGTGTAATCCGGAGCAACACAAATCATAGAATCCCTATAGTGTGGAAATAGGCCCTTCGACTCAAGTCCACATTGACCCTCGAAGCACCCCACCCAGACCCCATCCCCCTATATCCCACCTTATCTACACATCCCTGAACGCTACAGGCAATTTAGCATGGTCAATCCACCTTGTCTTCACATCTTTGGACTGTGGGAAGAAACTGGAACACCCAGAGGAAACCCGCGCAGACACAGGGAGAATGTGCAAACTCCACACAGACAGTTGCCCGAGGCTAGAATCGAACCAGTGTCCCTTGCGCCATGAGGCAGCAGTGTCAACTGCTGAGCCGCCCAATAATACCACTGGGCCACTGCCTCTCTACAATACCTGTCAATAAGTGCAGCGAGAGTCACCAGTAGCAGTAACAACGACAATGACAATAAAAAGAGGAATAAGAAGCTTGCCAATGGATTATAACAAATTCCTATCACACAAGAGTCTAAGGCCTCAAAGAAAAATGTCACATCCCCTTCAACAGCCGGTCCATTACCTTGATCAAGAATAAGAAACTCATTCAGATAATTATGGTGGTGCCCAGTGTTGTGCTGCAGCAATGACAACTACAAAACAGAACACATCTCTTGATTTCAGGAGCAAGATAGTTCTGAAAACGTCAAACAATAACAGATTCATGCTAACATGAGTCTGGGTCCAATGAGATTATCAAACCCATTACAGGACTAGGCAGAATTTCATGGAATTTTTTTTTTTTTTTTTTTTTTAAATAAAAATAATGGGATTCTGGAGTAACACTCTGTATGACTGAAGTTAACTTCAATGAAGCAGTTTGCAAATTCGGAGATCATGACTTAGACACGGACAGCAGTGACCGTTAATGTTATCTTTAGTGAGACAACATCTCTAATGCTGGGGGAGACCCATCATCAGTTCTTTTCAATCACCAACTGATGCGACGGTTCAATTTTCATTTTATATTTTTTCCAAGTCTATGGTAATTTTCCCACCTTATTTAAATAATCTGGATTGATGTTTGCATTTAGCATTCATTAAACACATGTTAAATTACTATAATCCATATATTTAGAATTAAAAGGTTTACTCAATAATATTGGCAAACTTATATTACAAATAATTAAAGAAGAGAGCACTGAATTTGACAACATACAACATGTGCTTCTGGCAGCTAAGGAAACGTATTTTCCTCCTTGGCCAGCCAAATTGTTGATGGCATACACAACCATCAATCAACAAGAACACTTTCATTTGTGCTTGATAGGAGCAACTCTTTTTTTTGAAAGAATGAACGAACCCTGGAAGTTAGGTAACTCAGCAAAAATCCTGTAACAATAATAGTCTCAGGCTTGAGAAATAAGGAAAACAAAATGCAGGAAGTGTATAACAGATCAAAACTGCAAAACATCCACCAGTTTATTCCCACATTTTATAGAGGTAAATTAGACTATTAAAATTTGTAGAAGTTCAGCTTTGCAAGCTATGGATAACTAAAACAACAAAAACAGGACAGAGCTTTCTGAACTGCTTTCTCACTGGCTTTCACAATGTTCAAATCAATGAGTACTGGGGGTGGGGGCTGCAGGGAGGGAGAAGAAATCAACTCTTGCATGCACTTGTTTAAATAAAATATTTATGATTCCATTCAGATTCAATTACCTTAAACGTAGTTTTGAAATCCTCAGATGAATAAACTTTGGTGTCTCTGGAAACAAGTCCTCGAGTATCAATTATACATGGAATGATGAAATCTTCAGGAAGAGGAGCTGTAGGTACTTTATCTGAATGCCCTGCTTCTCGCCCAGGATCAAGACGATCTACAGTTAATGTAACACCTTCCTCATCTGTATTAAGTGAGTAAGTTATATTTACTCAACCAAGTACAAATTTCAATTATTTCTGAATAACGTTTCACTAAGAAAATAGTTAATATTTAAGATCAAACATGACATTCACCAAACCATATATAAAAGTAAATAAAATGCC